GAGAAATACCCTTTTAAAGACTTGTCCTTGTTTCATTTCTGCAGCAATACCTAAACAACAGCTGCTTTTAAATCCAACTAAGTTGTAAAACCAAGTTGCGTTATGAAATTTCCCCTTTCTTCTGCAAGAGCTAATCCAAAGTGCATCTGTCAATAGCAACATCTATTTTTAGTTCATCTCAAACTATTTTAAGGACAGTACTGGAAGGTATTCAAAGAATGGCAAAGGGAGCCAAACAACAATTTTATTGTTGCAATTTTAACACTTATAAGCCTACACATCAGCCTAGAAGTAGGTGAGCTGTGAGCCAGACCAGAAGACTCTTTATCCATGATTAAGTGTCACTGTGAGGTGCTAATGTGGAGAGGCATATAAGAACTTAGTTGACACCTTTGTAAAGATAAAATAAAGGCTTTTTATTTAAAACAACAGTTGAGTTATTAATGCAGTAAACACCTTAGGGCAAGTGCTGTTTTTAAGTCCCTGTAGAAGTATTTCTTCCTTCTGTAAAACTCACTCCAGGCTATTTCCTGAGAAAGTCTGTCATTGTGATAGATGGAATTAAGCAGGGAAGCAAAAACAAATTTCAAGAAGTGCTTGGCAGCAGAAAAGTTATTAATGCAACTTAATGTATCATTCAACAAGACTAGCCAGGATAAATTTTTGATGTGTGGCAAGCATTTTAAACAGTTTGACTTTTTCATGAAGGTCACAGAGTCTTTCAAGGTAAGGGCATATGCACAAGCTACAGCACAGTAAGTTAGACTATCTACTTGCAGGGAGTCATACAGAGCCAAGAACTTACAGGCATGCTCTTACCCTCGTGTGTCAGGTATATTGAAACAGCTCTCCATTCAGCGCAAGATAAGGTGGGCTGTCAAAGTGTAAGATCTTAAACTTAGGTACAACACTGCAGCTGCTCTACTACAAATTTTCTCAGTGTAGTAATCTTTATCACTGGTCTACCCTTGCACTGTACAACATCCATGAAATAAATCTTTGAAAGAGCAAAAGACAGGAATTGCGGTATTTTCCAACTGCCATTAATTCAGGTTTCATATACACGACACCTTACATTTCAGTTCAAATCTCGTCTCAGTTATATTCAAAGATTACTAAAGAACAACAACTCCTTAAAGTTCTGTCTATGTTACACAGCAAAGTTAGGAGGATTGCTAGTATTAGTAGGTATTTCTTCAGGTATATGAGAATACCTTGGCAGGAGACCTGTCTTTCATTAAGGACACGGATCAGGACAGAGTCAGCAACATTTTTCTTTACTACTTGAATTCTCACAGAAATAAAAATCATTAAATAAATTTTGCAGAACTCTTCATTCTCCTATAGTCATCAGGTTTTGCCTATTCTCAGTATACTTCTTGCATTCTTAATTCTGAGATTTTTTCACAATTCCCTGCAATGTTGCCTAGGTTTTGGAATGGCTGTGCAGGAGTTTCATCTAGGCTGATAGTCATTTATACACTGCTTTGATAAGCTTCCATCTCCCTTTCCCTTCTCCAAGCAGAAGCACCACCAAGGCTCTAAGTGGGACCCCACAAATGGAAACGAGGACTGAAGTCTGGCTGAAGTGTGTAGCACTGACAGGTTGAGTTACCACAACAGTGACCAGGCAGTCGCAGCCCTGGCTCTTACAAACAGCCTTTTTCACAGCTCAGCTGAGATTTCTCCATGTATTTGAATGAAAGCTATCAGAAACTAATTTCTAAGATGTTGCCATACTGAGATCATTTGTTGGTAAAAGGTAAAACTGGATGATTGGTGAGCCAAGAGTACTCTTTAGAGGCACTGATCCCAGTGTAACTATACGGGTCACGATTCCCTAGACCTGGAACTGGGCTGGAGTGAGTAAGGAGAAAACCAGCATCAGTGACACTGACTTCCATGCCATTACAGCCTAGTGTTGAAGCTCTGCCAGTGCTTTGCAAACTGGAGTTTTCCAAGGCCATAGCAACAGCATGCTTCCTCTTTGAAATGCTTTGTATTACTGTTCTATTTTACCTTAATTTAGCATGTAATTTATTTAAATGTAAAACACGATTTTGTTTTTCCGGACATTTATTTTACAAAATTATATTTACTAGAAAAATACATTATTTCTAATTCATGGCAACCTCTCCTGTACCCTTTTTAATTACATGGGTATTTGTGTTCCATTATTATCCTTCTGGGTTTGATGGCAGTATTATAATTGTAGCAAGTTCTTTCCTAAAGAGAATGCAGTCTTCTTTCTTTTATTCAGCTCACTGTGCCCTGAAGTTATCCTACAAAGTCCATTTATGAATTTGAGTGAAGCACTAAAAACGCACTTTCTGTAAGAACACTTACAGCAAGCTGTCCTCTACCACACTGGTGTTTCTGTCTGGAGATGCAGAGATGAACAGATGGGGTTGTTTACAACCACCTCATGCACACACACTACTGTCTTTATGCTTTCAGAGAACCTGCCCTGTGCATGTGCCAGAGGTAAAATTAAAAATAAGATATTAAGAAAAATATCTAATTTACTTTCAAAGACTCCAAGCCATGCTGTCCCACTGTTGCTCATCTATGTAATTTCACTTTTTTCCAGGATAAGTTTATTTAAATTCCACTTTTGGCACTTGATCCTATTACACCTTTGTCTATAGAAAGAAAAAGCTTCTATTCTACTCTTACACTTCAGACGAAAAATCCTCCATAGAAAATAATGAATCCACCCTCCAGTATTTCTTCTATAAACTGCAGATACTAAATACACTAAGCATCACAATATAATGACTGTTTTTCTAGATCCCTAATTATTTTGGTTGAGTCACCACCCCTGGAGGGTTTTAAAAGACAAGTAGATGTGGCACTTAGGGGCACGATTTAGTGATGGACTTGGCAATATTAGGTTTACGGTTGGACTTGATGATCTTAAAAGGTCTTTTTCAACCTATTCTATGATTTTGACAAATTTCTATGAACTCTCCAGAAGTTCCATATCTGTTTTAAAGTCCTGACCAGGGCATAGTATTTTATCAGGGCATTACCAAAGCTGTGTTTAGTGGAAAGATCACTTACTACTTTAAATGAATATTTTGAATAATTTTTTAGTCACAATACTTGTAATGAGGTCATAGCAGTTATGTAGGAAGAACCCTGTATCCTCCTGAACCTACTCCATATAATCTGTAGCTTACATTGTTTTCCACAGAAGTAACTTCTCTTAACTTCATAAGCCTTAAATTTAACAAGCAGTCCCCACTATTATGAATGAGTAACCTACTGTCTTTCTTATTTATCTGCCAGTCTTGACTCCAAATACTTTACCAGCAAAGACTTTATTCTCTAGATTCCTGAGGAATTTACAGAACATTAGACTTGCAAGGAAAGTCCTCACTTATTTCTCTTCATGTTCACGTCTCACAGAAACACTTTGTAGATCATTTATGTCTGTAATTTTAACTCCACTCAAGCAAACTTTTACATCCAGGGCCCTTTCTCTTATCAAGGCAGAAACACACTTTGGAAATCTGAGCCTTCGATGTTTTTACAAATCATTCATGCAATTCTCTCATCCCAAAAGGAGCAGGCATGTTTTTCATGAAACCATGCTATATAGGATAGTTTGTCTTTTAATTTTTTATTTCTGGATTCCCAATGAATCATTAGAACCTTGGGGAATGGCTAAAATAGAGTATTAATGCAGTGCTTACCTACTATTTATTAAGTACTGAAGCAATATCCCATGGACTCAGATTCCATGGTACTATGTAGTATACAGATAGAATGGAAGGGTCCCTGTCCTAAATAATTAGAACATAATTTAAGCATAGAATCACAGAATCATAGAATGATTAAAGTTGGAAAAGACTTCCAGGATCATCAAGTCCAGCCTTTGACTGATCACCACCTTGTCAATTAGACCATAGCACTAAGGGCCACGGTCTGTCGTTTCTTGAACATTTCCAGGGATGCTGAACTCTACCACGTCCCTGGGGAGCCTGTTCCAATGCTTGACAATCCTTCCCATGAAGAAATTCTTCCTGAATAACACTAAAAATTGTTAGACCTTTTTAATAACTGCTTCACATTATTAATTACATACATGTACGTATTTTAAACTCCTTTCATCTTTTGCTCCTTGTTCTAGTCCTCCCAGCACTGCAAACAAAGGGTCTAATCCTGTTCTTAGGATAACTGAAGTGAGTTGCTCCATGTCTAACTGTACTGATGCATTGATGAACACAGTGCTACGGTACTCCTTGGTAAGGAGGACAGAATGGGAAATTCTTACATAACATGAATGAATATGATTTTTGTTCACATCACTAGATATTTTCCTACTTTCTGTCCTAGTAAGGCCTTTCATAGTTCTATGGCAGATTTTATATTTGATACAAGTAAAAAATGAATTAATGCATTTCCTTCTTTCTTCCCAGTTTCTTTCTGAGGTCTTAATAGAGATCCACAGCATGAACTTGTAGTAAAAATTATCACTATCTGTATACAAGAGTGGTGAAGACTGAAGTGTTTTATCTATTGCTGCCACTTCCCATGATGGGCCACAGAATACTGTGGAAGTGCTGGGAAGTCAATAGGCTATTCCAAGTTTCCTCTATTTCTCCACTGCCTTTTAAGTTTTGCCCTATCACTTGCTATGGGAGCCATATCAAGTTGTCCTGATGGAAGAAATACATAAATATGAAAAGGCAGCAGCCTGATGTTAAAACAAATATAAAAGAATACCATAACATGCAAAAAATCCCCAAACAAACAAACAAAAAACAGATCAAAGAACATACTGCCTCCTAATATAAGTTGATGGGAGTACTGAGCCTTCTCTGGTTACTTGCAGCGGCATCTTTCAGTTTCTCTAACGATTTAGTGGAATTCCTTCAGCATGCACATAGACCTGAATTCAGGAGGTAATCAAAGCCCTCTCACTCACATCCAAGCGCAATTTTAAACTCTTGTATAAGTGATTAGAACAAGACAGTAGGGTTCATGTTTATTACCTGAACAGTCTGATAAACCGAAGGATCAAATCCTTTCACTGTCACCTCTCGGAAAACTGTTGGCTCCAGTTCCTCTTTGGTCAGATCACAGTGATATATAATACCTAAATACAGAAGACAGTGCGAGTTTATCAACTTAGTGCATATTCATCATGAAAAGGATGCCAGTTTACATACTGTGAGGGAGTAATGAATGAATGGCATGGTGAAAAACAGCAGCTCCAGACACATTTTTCATTTATTATATAATGTAGCACATTTGAGTATGTGCCATACAGTGTGACTATCATGTTTGCACACTGGCTAACATACTACAAAACCCTAATATTCATGGCTACACTAGAGATGCATATGATACATAAACAAACTTGATTGTTAATTACTCTTTGTTTTTCTCCTTTACAGCAAGTTGGTCCCTGCAAAATTTGAAACATATATTAGGGAAAAGAACACTAAAAGTTAAGGCAACAAGTACTCTACCAGGACCCTCAATAAAATTGGTAATAAAATTAACCAATGTGGACAGGACTTGATTGAAATAATGTCATATTGTATTGTGTGCATTTTTGATACTTTCAGGAAACCAGATATAATTAATAGAGAGGTTACAGTTATAAAAATTTATACTGAAACATGAAATGATGAGGAAACATATCTGATACAAGGCAATTGCTTCATTAAATCACTTTTATAGACTGTGGAAGATCAGGAAGTTACAGATTGGCAAAGAATACAGATATAAATAAACATTTCTAATAACTGATAAAGCCTTTTTCCATATTGGTGAATTAATAGGGGACTAAAAGTAGGACTATCCTAATCTGCTGGGATTTTTTTTTCTTCATTTAGCACAAAATGGCTAGCAAATCTAATCAGGGTGACAGATGCAAACAAGCACTAAAGTAGTGTTTCCCTTAAAGATTAGGATGCAGAAAATTATGTGAAAGCACAGTGTAAAGCACTGGAGGCAGTTAACAGGCAGAGCACCCAACTGACATATATGCAGCTGCCCAAGCTGGATAATGTACTGGCAAATATTACACACAGAGCAGGCAGAATAGCTGCATCTTAGCAAACCACATGATGAAGTATAAGCACAGTCACAGACTGCATTTCAGGAGCCAGTCAGCCTAACGTTACAGTAACATGCAATTCAACCCCTGGTATTAAATCTTTTCTTCTGTTATATTTTTAGTGCCACAGCAGTTCTATCAAGAAACATTGTAATGTTGGGGCTTGCATTCTTTTGCTGGGTGCTAAATAAATGCAAAATACGAGAGTGGTCACCTAAATGTCTGATTGGAGTGGACAGCAGGGATAACCATGTTTTTCAGGGAATAATGAAAATTATTTTTGTGGTATCAACATCTACAGTTTTAGAGCTGCTTTATTCATTATTTCATATATATGTTTACTATATATATGTTTACTATTACTTTTGTTGTAGGTATTAAACACCAGTATGTTAATTTGTTTCTCATTAGGAAAAAAAAATAGTACAAGTGCAAATTGTATTTATTTCTAATAGTAAAGTAGAAAGATCTAGGTTAATCAAGGATCAGTCCCATACCCTTTGTCTGACTATTCCAATGATTGGGTGAATGGAGGTTGCATGCAAAGTAAAAAATATCCACACACCTTCCTAAAAATTACCTCTCTGGTATGCTTTCCTCATCTGTTCCTTATTCCCATATAGCCTACCTCCATTTCTTACCTTCCATTTTAATTCTAGATTCCAGGTCACTCTGCCCCAGTTAACAGAGCTATGCCATGGCGAATTCTTTGTAGATGCTAAGGAAATGAATCAAAAGGAGAAAAAAATTCTGCCTAAGCAACAGTAGGCAGTGAGAGCAGCCATCCTTGACTGGTTGGCAAGCCACGGGCTCAGACAGATCTATGGGCTCTTCCCCTATGCATTTTGCAGCCACAGAGGCTCTACTGCCTCTGCTGAAAGGAGGCTTTTAAGACCAGCAACTTCTAGCCCACAAGGCAGGATGTGAGCAAATGAACTATCTGAACCATCAAGCTGGACAAAGTCAGTGTCAAGCTACTATCCAGCTGTAGTGATCTGAATGTTGTTTAAAAGACGAACTAAAAACATAATGTATCTTATTCCTGGTTATGTAAACAGTAAGATAATAGGAAATTCATCACACTTCTTATCTGCTAAGCTTGAAACATAATTTTCATAATTTCATAAGATCTTTTCTAGCAAAACCAGCAAACCTCTCAAAACTGTTCTGTGGCCATTTTGCAATGTGATGTTGCTGTGCTCTAACTGAAACAGAGCAAAAATATATGTCAGATACTATAATAACATTTTTGATCATCTTATGATTCACAACCTCGGAAGAAGACAAAGATCCTGAAGCCTATCTCCCCCTCCAAATTTGAATCCTGTCTTTTATTAGGTATTGAAGAAGAGGAATTAAAAAGAGAGTGAACAGCACTTTCTAGTCGTATACTAGCTAGACTATTGTGTAGAAACTCCCTTCCTATGCAAAATTCTAGAATATTTATTGGTGTGCCACACATGCATTACATAATGCTTTGGACATCTCTGGCTTTGCAGGATTGTAGAAAGAAGATTCCTACAGCAATTCAACAACAGCAAGTGCTGTAAGAACACATGGTAAGGATGCTCTAATGAGTTATGCATAAATGAATCACTGAACCTTCACAGAAAGAATTTCTATGACTTTTATTAATGTTCTTTAAAATGGTGATAAAAATCACATTAAATACAATTGCCTTCAACAGAATTTGTCAACTTATATCTTGCTGTATGGAGCAAGAGTTATGAGAATGCTACAATTTCATCTCCAGTACAAGTCTGTCTTGAGTAATTTCTTAATGCAGGTCTCTAAAATACCAGTAGGCATATTATTTAGGCTTGATAGATGAAGGACTCGTACATTTTGAAATGCACAACCACTGCTTATTACATGGGGAAGGGTGAAGCAGTTTTATCCACACCTTAGACGTACTGAATAACAACCACAGAAAAAGAGACAGACATGGTTCACAGGAAAAGGAACAATAACATGAAAGAAAAAATCTTACCTGGAGACAAAAAGGAAGTAAACTGATAGAATATTTCAGTGTCCTTCTTTCGGCCACTATATCCCACAATACTGCCAACCTCTAGGGGGAAAGTCTTGAGATGTGCACCTGTGGCAAGGTCATGAAGTTGTAGGATATTCTTCACGTCGTGCAGATAGCACAAAACTAGGAGATTGGACCTCACACAATCAACCCATTCTGGACAGCATGGAAAACAAAAACAAAGTCACTTAAAATACAATTAAAAAATGTAAGAAAGGAAACAATCAGACATAATCTGATCCTAAAATTCTTTGGCATACCTAAATAGATGCAGGAAAATATGTGACATGCACTGCCCTTAACTCTTAAATCTTTGTAAGTCCCCTGCCTTCTGAAACAAAAAAGAAGCATGTCAGTGTTGACTGTATTTCAGTTTTATGCTATTTTATGTTATTCACGTTTTAACAGCTCTTTCCAATTTCCTCAAAGTCCTATAAACACAAATAATTTGAATTCAAAGAGTTGTACTGAAGACAGTCTTATAAATGCATCTTTGCATATTCAGGTTGCAGAACAAAAGTTCAAAGTTGTACCACATGCCACTTCCATTAGGGCTAACAAGTTGGGTTTTTTTCTAAATTGAAGGTCAAAACTCATTATTCTGTCACAAGTAGCTTTCATATAGAGTTCAGGTCTGTCATGGTCCCCTAGAGCTCAAGGACCTTCAAATCCTAATAGTTTGACAGTCTACTTTCCTTTTATCTTCTTTCTGAAGGACCAGTGAAACTTAATACTTGTCTAACTTTTTAGACATACAAATTTATGTTTCATAAATACCTAAATAAAGCTTTACTACTCCTCTCTTCCCATCCACCACCACTGATACTTTTTTATCCTCAAACTTTCCCTTGTGAGCTTCTAGGCTAAATTTTGCAATTTTCTAACCAAAGCCCCAGAGAACACCACTAATTGAAATTTCAACCATGAAGCCATGGCCTGAAATAATAAGATAGGGCATACCATAACACTGTTTATAAATTAGTAATTGACGTGTAATTTTAGCCCTAGAGTGGCTAAAATTTCTCAAGTGAGGCTGGAGAACATAATAAACTTCCTAAGTTAATAGTTATATTCAATTACATATTTTGAAATACTGAATCATTCTTGGTTGTGTGAAGGAGAACATGCAGTAACTTAAAAGACTTGTTACATTGGCACTGCACAAATCTGCCAAAATTTATATGTATAAGTGGTTTGTTAGCACAAAATACAGATTGAAAAGTTAGCATTCCAACAGTAACACACCTTTTTTGCCTGCAGAATTAATGGTTCTGCAATAACTATGAGATCCTATGAACTCCATTGGTATTTCTTGACAAAATTTTCACAAACTGGATTATAGACACTCTCGGATCAACTTCAAATGTACATAATATATATTATATATATATATGACTTCTTATTTCCTCACTAGTCATTTGATGGAGCATTTCAGCTTAATGGATGTTTTCATTAAAAGTTGAGTTACATTATTACTTCAACTTACATATTATGAAGAGATATTACTCTTTTTATTAAAAACATTCAATTGCCCAGGAGTAAGGCTGCTGGCTTATGTGGAGATTCCTGTCACTGAAGAACTTGCCTAGGAATCAGCAATATTAACTCTCCGTCACCTTTTTGGTTTACAAATTATATGCTTTCAGTAAGGTGAAGATAACAAATGAGACAACAACGTAAAATGTTTTTAAAACATTCCTTGAGATTTAAGAACACAGCTTCTGTGTCTCATACCTGTATTACATAACTGGTTTTAATGCATTGCTAACTGCCTCCAAAACTTACAGTCATGGAAGATACAAAGAAATGCAAAAAATCAAAACAGAGCAAAACATCGAAACAGACTTGAAAGAGCAGAAGGAAAAGAAGACACTAAGAATCAGCACTTATATACACAGCAAGATAAAACAATGCTGAATTTTTAATGAGAGCTATTTTTTGACTGTAAGCTTCAAGTTGAGTCTCTGTTATTCCCCTGCTTGGTACTGAGAACCACATGCACTGTCAAGCTTGTTGCATTAGCAGTCAGCCTCCTTGGTTTTGCTCACACATTGCAGGATGCATCCTGCAGGCCTCTGTGTGCTTTCAAACTTCCTATGTCTAAAAGCTGAGCTCAACACCATTGCTGTAGGCTCCCTTTACAGACAATGGGCAAAAAGAAGCACCTTTTAAATGCAGTTCAACCACCACCCTATGATGGGATATAATGAATTGCTGGCTGAGCAGTTTCACTCATACAAGTGACTTTTTTTAAAAAAACTAACCATCTGAGATCTCTGCAGTCAATTTATTTTCAGCTAATACCAATGAATAGAGCAGTTATTCTCCTTGTTACACCTAAATTTATCAAACCAATACCCATGTGGCACAATATTTGTATTACTAAACAATAAACACATAGGGGTTGTCTTTTCCAACCTAGGCCTCTTGGATCAGGCATCTGTCAAAGCATGTTTGTACATTTGGATGCTTAACATGCTGTATCTGCAATGTTGCTATGAACAACTTTTTGAAATAGCTTCAGGAAAAAGAAGGGTTGAACCCTCACACCAAACATCTGTGCCACTAACACTGATTACTTAACAACAGTTCTGACCTTTCTGCAGCAGTTGCTACAGCATGTTAAGCGTCCAAAGGTACAAACATGCTTTGACAGATGCAGGATAAAATGCTGATTGGAGAAGAACATACCAAGCTAGAAGAGCTAGGTAGCCATAGAGCTTCAGCAGGAATAGCTGAGTTACTTGCTGTACACTGTGCTTATGTGTCCACTCAACAAATAATTTATGTATTTCAATGGACTGTCAAATCTCTAAGACAGACTTGGAAGGTCATTTTGGTTTCTGTGGTAATTACAGACAGTGACCATAAACTTCAGTGTCTCTGCAGATTACCAGGTATCTACGCTGATCTCAATTAAAATGATCTGTAATCACCACTCAAGGCTACTTATCAGTAGACTTGAAGGCAAAGCATGACCAGTTTACAGAATAAAACATGAATAATTCTGAAACATGTAATTAAATGCTGACAAGCCCTCACAATATAAAGCATATGTCTTCTCTCTGAGACACCATCCTCAGGGACAGCCTGCCATGGTTAAAATTCACGGAAAAGCTTAACCAATTTCAGCAAGTCAAAGATTTTATACACGCAAACATGTGACGGAGTGCGGAGAGGCAAAGCTCTTCTGAAGCTGAAACATCTGCTCCCCTCCCTACCTCTTAATCATTTCTGAATTAGCTAGCAGGACTGAAGGTTAAAGGTATGAGGAAAAATACTATTTTTCACCTGGGAGTGCACATTCTAGCTGAGGGAAGGGAAGCATTTTACATGCACTGAGTTTAGGTGTGCAGATGTTTAGGGGTACAGTGAGCAATTGATAGCTTTGCCTCTGCTTGTTAATTGAGATTCAAGGAACTGTTCAAAATCACTCTCACATCTACGACATGTTCATGAACTTGTCTTATTTCTCAGCCCTACTTACTCAGGAGATGTATTCTGCTTTTCTTTACATTGTCACAAGTATAGGCTGGATACACTGCTACTCTCAAGTTGCCCTGCTCTACCAGTACTGGGCACTTTGCAGGGGCAGGGGGATGGGGGCTGTCACAGTTCTCAAAATTAATCCTTTAACCTTCTAAAAACAGCAAGTTTATCCTATGCCTTAGGTTGCAGTGTCTGTAATGATCAGTCTGCATTTACAGTTTCATAGCTGCTTTTCAACCAATTCAGCATGCCTACTTGCAGCTGTGTGGTCATTTAAAGCATAAGTTCAGTGCTAGATGTGAATCTCTCCTATGGCTTTATTTTAGACTCCCTGAAAATTAGAAGTAATTCTTTATAAACAAACTCCAAAGGGGAGGAAATGAGTTTCATTACACTACAATATGTTCTGAGACACCCTCTTAAATTTAATTTTAAAATAGCTGTCATTTATTTCTTCCTCTCAGCTTACAAAGCAGAAATCTAAATTTACCTCAACTCTGTGTGAAATCCCTGCTGACAGTTGTAAAATGAGGTGTGTGCACAACCCCATTGTGGGAATGCGCTTGGTTTTTTCCCAGTATTTCCAAAATTATCTCATTTATAAACAGTTCTTGACAAAAAAAGGCCAATAAAAAAGTCTATCTTAAAGAGTATGTTGAAGGATCTAAATGGCATTCACATCACCTTGTAGGCATGTGTATTTGTTGGTTACATTATATCAGCTATAGAATCATCCTAAGAATGCATTATGATTCTTTGTAGAACATTTCTTTATGCCATTCATGGACACTGGCAGAGATTCATAATTCTTAATCCTGAACTTATTATTCATAGATGAACCTACTTCTATACGTGCAAGTATAGCCTTTATGAAACCGAATCTAAGTTAACACATAGAAATGAAGTAGGCTGTGGCTTCCAGGCAGATCACACCAGAGCAGGAAACTTAAACCAAGGATCTATATGTTCCAGTAAAACACATTTTTAGTGAGCTATGGCATCACTAACTATAATGTTTATAATGAAATACTGATACAGCTAAATTACATCTTGTTAAGGAGTCACTCCCACACATATGTACAACTGGATAAGCAGCAATACTCATTTATCCTTTGAATCACTGCTGCCCTAGCTTTTGCAGAAGGCGTTCATCACATTGTCATCTCTGGATCACACAAAATCAAATTCACTTGACTACAAGGTTTTCAAGACAATGAATTATTAACTGTCTTTGCTATATTTATGTCTTCCTTAACAAATCTCAGAATGATTAAAAAAGAATGACATGGAGACTCGCTTGCTGGCTGGCTTCATCAAGTGAAGGGTGGGTTGTTTTTATTTATTCAGGACTACAGCTCCCATATCTTAGTGCTAAGGATACAACACTAATTCTTTGTCTGCCACAAAGAAGCAACTGAACAATTTAAACTTACTTTCCCGTAAGATCTACTATAAACCTACTAAGATCTACTTAAAACTCATCCTCTTAGGAAGCTACTTTCATTTGTTAGTTAATCCATTTCCTTTATACACCATTACAAAAAGCTAGAGAGAAGTGGACATATGACTGCCTACTCTGGCTTCACATTCAAATACAGTAGAAGATTAATGACACACAACAGACTCCTGAAAGTCACTCTGATGGTTTCATATGATAGATTATGTTTGCTTTCAAGTGTGTTCAAGAGCTGAATGCCTGTTGGTTTGTCTCAGTGAGGAAAGACAGATGTTACTGTATACACACATATCAAATCATATACACAAAGAGAATTCGACTCATTCTACAAAGCAGCTCTTCACTGGAGAAGCAGCAAACTAGAAGGAATTTGTATAAAAATTATTAATAAAAAAAGCAGTGTATTTTTTAATAACTAATGTTGGTCAGATAAATCATAATTGTATCTTGTACTGTATGGAGAGCAAACTACATAAATGTACACTAAGCATCTGTCAAAAAACAGCTCAGGAGAGGTTTTTCTGTATTATCTGAAACTAATTCTACCTTTCATAGAACTTTCTGCAAAATTATGGGATTAAAAAAATACACCATTATTTTAATTGTATCAAAACCAAAGACTTATGCTTCAAACTTGCTTTTATACTTAAGAGACCTCCATGCCCTTCAACTTTCCTGAGGTTTTTTTTTCCAAGTATTGTTTACTCCTCTTATTCCAGGAACAACAAAAAATCCCATCTCAAATTCTAAACAATTCTGTTCAAAGTGTGCTACACTACTGCCAGATTTGCTCTTTTCCTTCTTTCTGCTTACAAAGCCCCTCTTGCTGTAATCCCTGACTATCTAGTAAACATTTATTACACTGACATAAAGCAGGAATATACTTTTCTCTCATTTCCTACAAACATAGAATTAAAACAAGGACAGATGAATCAACTTCACTATGGCCATACAGGATGTAAGAGAGAGACAGAGAGATTGATTGTGGCAGCCAGGAGGGCTAACTGTGTCCTGGGGGGCATCAGGCAAAGCATCATCAGCCGGTTGAGGTAGAGGATTGTCCCACTCTGCTCTGCACTGGTGTGGCCTCACCTTGAATACTGGGTGTAGTTTTGGATGTCATGATACAAGAAATATATTAAGCTCTTAGTGTCCAAAGGAGGGCAACAAAGATGGTGAAGGGCCTTGAGGGGAAGCCCTTTGAGGAGTGGCTGAGGGCACTTGGTCTGTTCAGCCTGGAGAAGAGGAGACTGAGGGGAGACCTCATTGCAGTCTACAACTTCCTTGTGAAGGGAAGAGGAGGTGCAGGTGCGTAATCTCTTCACTGTCATATCAGTGACAGGACTCGAGGGAACGGCCTGAAGTTATGTCAGGGGAGGTTTAGGTTGGATATTAGAAAAAGGTTCTTCACCCAGAGGGTGGTAGGGTACTGGAACAGGCTTCCCAGGGAAGTGGTTACTGCACCAAGCCTGACAGAGTTCAAGATGCATTTCAATGATACTCTCAGGGACATGGTGTGACTCTTGGGGATGCTCCTGTGAAGGCCTAAGGATTGGACTTGATGATCCTTGTGGGTCCCTTCCAACTCAGCATATTCAGTCATTCTAAATGTCTTGTATCTCATGAAGTCTTTTAACTGCAAATTCTATACAAAGTTTAAACACAGGAAAAAATTATGAAAGCCTGTAAAAGATCATTCAATAAACTAACTACTGAATTAATTCGAAAAAAGCAGAATAGGAAGACTTTAACTTGACATGAACTCTTACCTAGAACATCTTTTTCATGTTCAGGGACGAGGACTTTCCATTTGGATTCCTCTGGATCACTGAAGTCAATGTTGATTAACTTGTAATTTGGAGAGTGGCGGTTTGTCTTGAAAGTGAACACTGTTCCTTCATTGGTGACATACTCATACTCAGCCTCAAAGTTATCTATCAGTTTCACCCAGTGAAGTATTCCTGAAAGATGAAACATAGAATATAAATTCTTCACCTCCTGAAACAAAACATTTTAACACCTGAAGGCAAGGCCTTCCTGACAATTGTTGTAGGCTCTTTCTTGAACAACAGCAGTGAAAAGAAGCAGTACAGCTATGGAAAGGCTAAAAAGTCTACTTTAAAAGTATTAAGAACTTACCAAGAATTCTCCAGATTGATAGGCTGCAGTGGAAAAATGCCAGTTCAGGGACATGTTAACATAACTGGTTTTGAGGAATTTCTAGCGAAATAATGCAGAATACTGACAGGATTACGGTTAGTGTTTTACTAGTTTTCCTAAGGGGCTGCTGGAAAGCTCAGGTTTTTGCTACAGAAGTGCTTCTACCACACTGACTGCTGTGAAGTCAATGCCTGCGAGCACATCAGGTTCTTGTCAGTGGTGCTCACAAGTCCCCACTTCTACAGACTTCTTGGAATGAACAGTCACAGCTGAGTCAAAAGACTGCACTAAGCTTTCAAGCTGAATTTTATTCCAAACAGCTTTTCTAAAATTACTATATAATTATAAAGAAATGTTGCTGGGTTGTGTTTTTCCTTCTGAAAAAAACCCAACACTTTGAATGGAAATTTTTCCATTCTTCTTAAAAGCCCAGAACTTCCCACAGAATAGAAATTATGCTATTTGAATGAGTACAATAAACTTCAACATGAGGAATTTCCCTTTCAACTCAAGAAAGAGCATTCCTGAAATGATGTCCTGCAGAAGCTTGTCACCACCTATCAGAACAACTACAGTAAGCTAAAATGTTAACATCAGGCTTTTGCAATAATGAAACTGCATTCCCCCTATCAATTTTCTCGAATATCACACTCAGTAACAGAAGTGGGGTTTTCTCAAACATCAATTGCTTCAGTTTCAGACTGTGATACAGAGTGAATAGTATTGATTCAACCACGAGTTGGGATTTTAAGATTTCACTGCTTTTTATTCACATTTTACTGTTTTGTAATAGGTCAAGAGGCTAATAGAAAGAAAAATCTGCAAAGTTAGATAAGATATGCAATATACTTGTTTTATCCACAACACAGCCTATCATCACCTTCAAACTTACTATTATAAGGATCAGAAATTATCTGTGCAGAAAAATCAAAACCCTTAGTGATATATCTTAAAATGATCAATTCTTGTTGATATGTATTTATATCTTACAATAACATTTGGTGCACTCTCTGCCTCTTTCCCAAAACTAAGGTTGGGTCTTTGCTTTTAAGTATAAACAAATAAACTTCATAAATCTGTTTGTGAAACTCTATAATGCAATGTTTGCATCAATAAAAATGCATTTCAGCTTATTTTATAATATTAAAAACTGAGCAGAATACTGCAAGTAGATCACAGTTGAGCTGTAATTACTGTAAGTTTAAAAAAAGAAAAGAATAATTGAGGAAGCAGTGAGATGACTAAGGTAATTTTAAACCCATTAGATGTAATAACAGAGTATAGTCAGGCCTGGTACATTCATAAAATTCATATCTCTTAATTGCCATTTTGGTTTAAGAAAAACTTCCCTGTCTCTTCATGCAAAGTGATAGATTAGCCAATTAAATTCTACTTTGTATACCACTGTAATACAAACTTAGTATCCTGTCTCTGAGTGAGTACATTGCCTGTTAAACCTTGATTTTTGCTGAGGTCCAAAGTTTTGTCCTTCTTAAGAGACTGGATCTTGAAGAAAAATCCTGCTAAGTCACTCCAGTTCCTGTTAGTTCTACAGAGAAAACCTGCTTTGATGCCTAGTAAAACAAAGAAAATCCTACCTACAGCGAACTCTGATAAACACCAGTGAAACTGTTTTAAGATTCTGAGTCCCATGCACAAACATTTTAGTAAATAAAAACACTAACTGCGGTGTAACACCACAACAATATGGGAAGATTTGTATTTTAGTATCTGACAGAATGAAACCATTCTACTAAAGAACAAGACTTCATAAAAAGGAATCACCAGACTGTTGAAAAAAACCACTTTTTAAACACTAAATGTTCACAATAGTTGTAGTCTCCTTAAGTGCAACAGACTTGGACTGTATGAAGAAAAAGGACAATAATGTGATATTAGGGATTTACATTGCTTCCTTGCAAACTCATTCATCCACTCCCTAATGAACAGCTAGTAAAAAAGTGAGAGGGTTGATGTTCTACAGGGGTACACTTAGTTGTTATTATACAAAAATTAAAGCATTCATCGTCTTAAATGGATGCGATCTAGTCCCTAGAAGACAAATATTGCAGATGAATTACCTCTAAACCACTGTCTCACTGAAGTGGTTAAATAAGCCAGTACCTAATCTAAAATAAGAGTCAGCAAAGAGGCAACTACAGGGAGCAGAAAGAGACAATTGCATCACGTACATTACTGTACAGAGTGCTGTAGTTTTCCAGTGAGAGGAAGAAATCCTTTGCAATGACACAGATACAAGACGTAAGGGGACGCTTCTTTATGGTCAGTTCCAGGTGACCTAGTTGTGGCTGTGACTGAAAGGGATGTTCTAGCATTACCTTGGATTCTCCTGCTTAGCTCTCCCTTTTGGGCTAGGAATAGCAACCTGGTGACAAACACAGCCAGTACACGGGTCACTAATATGGCTGAAAACTGATGGGGACACACACATCATTTATCCCCAGGTTATTCTGGTGGCAGCACAAGAAATGGGCAGGCCCATGTAGCTCACTAGCATGGCTCTGCCCCTCTGCCAAGCACTCCGGCCTTGCCTCTCAGTAACAAAAAGAACAGTATGTCTATAAGTTATGACTTCAAGAAGTACTCAAAAACCAGGGTGAAGGATGGGCAATCAGTACACTCTTTGTTAAAAGAAAGGAGGGGAGGGAGGAATTGAAGAACTAGATCTTGATAAGACATTTACAGTTTTAACCAGCAGCACTCTGAGAACATGAACCTTTGAGGAGAGTCACTGAGAAGTGGCATTTGTAGTCCAGGCTATTCTTAACACCTGAACCACTGAAGTTTAATCCACACAGGGTTATAATGAGACAGATTTATTATATATAGGAAAAGCATGACAGTTTACTGTATGGTGCTGCTATACTCTAATCCTTTCCCCTGCCAGCCCTTACATTAAAACACATTGCTGAAAACATACAAATGGCTTTGCCTCTATACCTTACACCAGCCAGTTATCCATCATCAAATAATTGCAGTAGAAGAGGAACTGCAGGTAGAAGACCTACAACCTTTATTCACTGGACAATAAAGCCATACCACACAACAGAAAATCATAATCTTACAGAGTTAGCCCTTCTGCAAAGGACAAAAGAAACATCCAGTGAATAGATAAAATTTTTTGAAAAATAAAATTTTTTGAAAAATAAAATTTTTTGAAAAAAAATTTGGATCCACAGAAGATCAAAAGGGAAATTGTATCAGTAAGCATCACAGAATAAGCCCTCAATCTTGTACTGATCTCTGACCATAGTAAAACATTCACTGGTTTGCTGAGAGCTCTGCGTGATGAAGCAGGTCTGTAACTGAATGATGACAGCTACAGGAGAAGGAAAAGCTAATGTGAACAAGCTGATAACAGCATGAATGATTGCAAAGTCTGTTACCAATGGTCTTTAGACAGAAAGGATAAAGCGTCTGAGAGTCACTGATCATCAGTTCACAAAATGTTCTCAATACTTCCATATTTCATGTTTCATGGAAAGGCCAAACAATCAATTCACAGCAAATAACCTCTTGACTGTGCTTGCTGGAGAGACAGGGCTTAGTAATCAAGTAGGGTTATCTGATGTTGTGAAAAAAAGTTTTTAAAAGGCAAACACTGGCATTTGGCTTTTTTCACACATTCTAGCAGGCAAAATTATCAGGTGAAGATATAAATGTTCATCTCCATAAATTTATATTCCGACTCGTCAGTTATATTTTTTGCAAAACAGTTTTTCTGGAAATCAGTCCGTGCTGAGAATGCTCAGAAAATGAATGAAGAGATTTGGCTCAAAAATGGGAAGGTTTTTTAACTAAAAAAGCCATACCACATTTCATTGTGGTACATGCATTAAGCAGATAAACTACTCAAGGACAGATCCTGATTTTTCAACTCTCAGATTTTCATAGAATCATGAAGTGATTTGGGTTGGAAGGGCTCTTAAAGGTTGTCTATTTCCAACCTTCCTGCCATGGACAGAGACACCTTCTACCAGATCAAGTTTGCTCAACTCCCCATCCAACCTGGACTCAAACACCTCCAGGGATGGGGCATCCACAATCTCTCTAGGCAACCTATTAGAGGGTTTCACCACCCTCACAGTAAAGAATTTCTTCCTAATATCTAATCCAAACCTGCCTTCTTTCAGTTTAAGGCCATTTCCCCTTGTCCCACCACACATGCCCCTGTATAAAGTACCTCTCCATCTCTTTTGCAGGTCCCCTTTAGGTACTGGAAGACCACAACAAGGTCGCCCTGGAGTTGTCTCTTCTTTAGATTGAACAGACCCAGCTCCCACTCCAGTTGTGCAAGTCATCCCTGCTAGTGGATTATTATTTTTTTCCCAGTCTCAGGAAAGCAGATTAAAGCCACTCATTTCCTCATAATTTCTGCTTTTTACGTTTCTCACTAAAGAGACAGCGCTTAATAATCAAATTTTATTTTCTTAAAGAATCCTCTGCATCCTTTAGAGATTCCATTTTCCAATATTAACTAATCTACATAGCCTATAGTATATTTAAAAAGGCTTTAAATTTATAATACGTGTGTGTATATACATATATATATATATACACACACATGTTAAGTTTGCTATAGCAGAGAAATATCTTTTGCACTTGGACTGTCAATTACTAACTGAAAAATTCTTTCACTTGCCAGAGGTACCTGGAAACTTCTATTCCATCTCTGCAAACCTTAATCAAAGAATACATAAAGCCTTCCAACACAGGGGAAAAAAATCCCCAGCACAAAACTCATAGTGTAATTTAGGTTTTCTCTAGTAGTCATATCTCC